ATGGAAATAATTCATAAATGACCGAAACTACCACAATATAATTATAAATATAAAATAGCCACATAAACAATAATATAAAAGATATCTTTCCTTCAAAGAATAGCAAGCAAAATGATCAAATGAATAAGCGAGCATCCGAAGATAGTGCAGATTTTTATAATTTGTTTAAACTATGATCCCTAGGGTGGGATTAGAATAGAAATTTCAACCATGGTCGTGCTAAAACTGTCTTAAATTAAACATAAAATTGAAAACAACAAACTCAATTCAAGCTCAAATATTAAAAAAACTATAACAACTTAAAAGTTGCATAGACTCAGATTTGAAGTTAATATTTTCTTAAATGATATAACCCAATATATATTGCAAAAGCAATTCATCTCGAAGTTTTTGAAACATCTGAGACTATTGAATTTCTTATCGGATTAATGATTGACACGTCCTTGCAATATCTCAAATTACGAGGGCTGTTCAATAAATAATGTCCTCGGTGCTCAGAAAGAAGTAAAAGACGATTTTCAATTATTTATTCTTCATGATTTTATTATTTAATCTCTTTTAAGTAAAATACATGTCCGTAGCATTTTCTATCCAATTTCTGATCATTTTTAGAACTCATATTTAGGTATGTCCCTCAGTATACTGGAAAATGGCAGATCCAATGATTTCCCGGACTTGTTTCTTACTTCTAAAAGGTATTTTTTCCAAGTCTGGAAATTGAAACAAGTCAAGAGGTCAAAGATCTTGCAAAAATTGTTAATATGAAAAAACATTAACTTTCTGTTTATCCCGAAAACCCCTTTACTCTTCAGGACATGCGGGTTTGGGCGCTGTCTTGAAGAAAATCAATGTAGAAAATTCCTGATTCTGGGTCCTTCCACTAATAAACCGTTTGATTTTTTGGCCAAAAAAGTGCTTTCTAGACTCCTCCAGAAATTAAACTGTCTCTCCGAATACGATTGTGAACAACATTACCACTAATGTTTAAGAAAATTACATATAAATCTGTCTTTGTGCTCTTGCATACCTGTGCACTTTTCAGACATTCGCCGTTTTTATCAAGTACATCTTATGGAAAATTTTGTTTTTAGGGTTTTAAGCGATAGATTAATGTTCCAATATCTGTTTGAAAATAAAACAAACGTAGATAACTACAATTACTGATATTTTAAAAAAATTAAAAAGACTTTTGTACACGCTGTCATTTTCACTCATTTTTCAAAATATAGGGTGACCTTTAAGTATCAAGCTTTTTTACCGCCAAACGTTTCTTAAATACAGTGTAAAATACCCCCGATGTGATGTCTATCAAATTTGCTATGTGTCTTAAAGTCAATCATACAGCATCAAATATTATTTGTTGAAATTTGGCGAACAGTACATGAGTTGTTATAATTTTTGTTGGCAAGGAGGGTACCCATTTTGGATGCCCATTATATAATTTTTTATCATTTAAATCCAACTGCTCTTTTGTCTATAAAACAGGCATTGGTTGCTCTAAATGTCACATATTTCGGTTAATATTTCTTTGGGATTTTTTACAAGTTTTACGGCAGCTTTAATGAAGCTTTTATTTTCACTCTTGTTTACTGATTCTTTACCGTTCATTTATAATGCAGTGTCTCGAAAAGCCCTTGTTTCACAGCTTCTCATGATGAAACTATGTGATGAAAAGTGGTCACATAAACTGTTATAAATTCACGAAAGATGCAATAATGAGAGAAAGTCAAGTTTTATGTCATACGGTATCTGTAATGTATGTCATATAGTTCAGGACATTATTTATTGAACAGCCCTCGTATAATTTCATTCTTAATACTTAAGAAAAGTGGCATTATTGTATATTAATGAAAATATATTAAAACTATAGTCTAAAAATTCAGGGTAAAATGTTCGAAAGGTAAACGGTTTAGGCCTTTCAACTATTTTTAAAATTGCACATATGGTAAAAAACATTGTATAGATAGATTTATAAGTACATGAAATTATCAAAAAAGATGATAACTTATGCATACGTTTAATTACATCATTAAAAAATTAATTATTTATAATTGACTTTTCCGATGTTGTGTTTAAAGACAGGTAACTCAGGTGTGAAAAATGGCCAACTTAGTGCCGATTTATGAGCTATCGTTTATAGGAATGATATATAGGCTGCTACAGCATTGGTATTGCTTTATACACAAAAGGGTTCCTTACATTGTTTTGTACACAAAAAGTACTGAACAAGAGAAAGAGCATGCCTTCACTCTTCCTGAAATGACAGGGTCAAATTAATGGGGAACAGACTATATTCAATAGTTTTAACTCTCTTTGACGATTATTATTATGAATTTAATGTCATGTTTTCTGTGTTCGCGCTTTTCGCTTCCTGTAAAAAAATATTAATATTTTTACAAGTAAATGCAACTTCATCTTATTTGTGTAGCACGAAGGGGAACGACCGAGTATAAAAATTTAATTAGGTTAGAACTGAGAAGGAGGGTAGATTTCAATTTTTATTTTAATTACAAATATTTAATTATATGCATTAAATGGTGTCCGCAACTATACAGTAAATAAGTTTAACATTGGTGCTACATTTTAAAACCACTGGAATCTACTGAGAGCAAAGAAACACTTAGGAAATGCTAAACAGTTAGATTCCCCGAGCCTACTCTAAACAAGTTTCAGCAGTGAGTTATCGTTCATAACACCTGCCCTTAGCGGCAGTTGAAAGGCCTACATGTAGTAAACGTGCTCATTGTAAAAAGGTCAGTCCGTGTTTAGTGGTGTGTACAGACTTTAACAATTGAACACACCAGGTAAATCGTAAACATTTACGATAACAGAGCGCTCTCTTGTCCTGTTTACAAAACCAATTTATGTTTCATGGGTGTATTTAATTTGTTAAACACTGTACAGAACACTGAACACTGACTGACCATACTAGTGAGGGGAGTTCTATTTATGAACATTTCTACTTTAAATTTTCTGGGAACGACTTTACTTTACCGGTCCCCAGAAAAACGCGCTAAAATGTAGTGTCGCCGAAGGCGACTTCAGTATATATGAGATCGCGTGAGCGATCGAAAAAAATTTAAATACAAGGTTTTTCGGCCTTTTGACCCCAAAATTGAATTCTACGGTTAAAAGTTTGGTTTAAAACTCTGTTTTTAAACAAAGTTTTCAACCTCGTTCTCTGAAAAAATTAATAAATATTGTTTATTCATGGAAAAAATCGACACAGAATTATTCTGAACGAAGTGCGTGCGGCGCATGCTTAGTGTCATTTCTTTTGGTCTTTGCCAATCTTCCATGTAAACAAACGAAGGAAATGCCTATGAATCTGATTTATGATCTTTGAAAAATTACAGAAACAACTAAATTTCTTAACTTAACTAAAAGAACGATTCACTAACCCTAATCCGTCGGATGGTATGCAAGGACTAGGACGTTCAGACGATATCTCCCGGGCAGATGCTAAACTAACCCTAATCAGTCGAATAATGTGCGAGGACTAACCCTAATCTCTTGGATGGACGCGGGACTTTCCCTAATCAGTCGAATACTAGTGCAAGAACTAACCCTAATATCTCAGGTGGGTGCAAGACTAACCCTAACCAGTCGAATAGTGTGCAAATTTAACCCATTTCAGTTGATTGACGTAGTTGTTACGTCATAGTCCAATGAGCGCGAGGATCTTGCGGATCTGGGGACCGGTAAAGTAAAGTCTACCCATTTTCTGTATTATAATTTTAATATTTTTCATTAATACACAACAAAATCGCCACTTTTCTTAAGAATTGAATTATAATTTGTGAAAGTCCAAGGATATGTCAATCAAACCCAACCAGAAATTCGAAGTTTAGATAACTTCGAGATGAAAAAAGATATTTATAATATTTTTTTGTGAAATGCGACTGTATAATATGTGTGGTAATATTAAACAGAAAATTTGGGAAAATATTAACTTCAAATCGGTGTCTCTGCATCTTTAAATTTTTTTTTCCGATAGGATATCAAAATCTGATTAATCAGGGAAGAAACAAAATTCAGTAAATACGTCAAATATTCAAAATGAAAAACAAACCTTAGTGTATCTTCGTGTTTACTTGATGTGGATATCAAGCAGAAAAGAAAACTTTTAATAGGTATATATGATTAGAATGAGTTTTCAAGAATCATAAAATTCACATCCAATGATACATTGTTCAATGTTGTTCAGACTTTGGCATTAGGCTAAATTAATTGTTTATGTATTTTAGTGTATCTTTGAAAGCTGTCTATTTCGTATTGGCAATTTAGTGGACATCCGGATTTTAGAAGGAATGCATAATAATTAACTATATAACAATAATTTATTAAAAAAAAATTATTTGCTGCCTCGAAATTGTGAAAGTCTAATATTCCTCTACACATTATTCCATAACTGTTGCGTTTTGGTAGTTGTGATGATTAAAATGTTGCAAGTTGCTATAGTTAGCTTGCTGTATGAATTTGAAAAAAAAGATATGCATCCAACTTGACTAAGTAGATATACTTTTGTAGATTATAATATAGGCAAAATTTAAACCCAAAGCAATTGTTTCCAAATCAAAATAAACTTGCACAGTTTTCTGCACTGAAGTTGACTTACTGGACTTTTGATTTGCGAGAAACACTGACTTTTACAGTTGACGGTTTAAATTAAACATTTAAATAAAATTATCGTTATTATTATTTCAGGTTCGTCATTGCTGAAATGTATCTTTTGAACCGACTTTTGAACTGAAATACTGTTCGTTATATCTGTATGTACTGGTATTTCACGATGACTTTTTATAATGAAACAGCTCAGGTTCCGCACGATACATGCCAGTCATTAAATCATATCATCAAAATTATACTAGGCAAACGTATAAGGTATTTTATTGTCAGCTGTAATCTGTAATGTTTGCATTTAAAAAACCCTTTATGTGTCATTCTGTTTTATGCATTTCCTGTTGTGGACTATATCCACCCGTAATATGAGTAGTAGTGTCAAGGTAGTGTTCATGATAAGCGCACTGGTTGCGTGCCTCTCCTTATTTTTTTTGTCTGTTATAGGACTGTTTAAGGTAAGCTCACTGTCAAAGATAAAAGTTGTTTTTTTCTAACTGTATGATGAATAATATTTCGAAAATCTGTCAATGTGTTTATGACCAACAATACCTACATTGTATATGATAGGAAAACATCTTTAGCAATTGAATTTGTTTTAAAAAATTGTTAAAACAAAGCCTAAAATATATTTGCACTATGTACAATAAACAAATTATGCAGTATTGGATTACCCTTCACTCAAAATATATTTTAGCGGGTTAAAAAGCATCTGCTCGATAAATAGCTTTTTAAACTTGTTTTTCTTATCCTCACAACAGATTTGGAGGGGATGAGTAACGCAATCTTGTATGTTCGTTTGTTAGGGAGTTCTTGATGTACGAAATGGAAGTGATGTTATTAAGCATCGGGATCGATGCCGAATGTTGTCTTGTTTTAAATCTATGCTCTCCTCTTTGAGGTGCCCTTGTTATTAAAATTTGATATGTTACATGTATTTGTTTACTTTATCCAGCGCGCACAGTACAACTATAAATTATAAGTATTCCGACCACTAAGCTTGACATTAATTTCATTGGAAAAAACCCAGAACGATCTCTCTGCAGATATGAATCAGTTCAAATAATATAACAGTAATAACAGTTCTGATTTTCAACACCATTTAGTGCTTCTATCCTTTCAAAATTGATAATATAATCCAATAAAATGTATTTTTTCACTACTAGTATTCAAATAGAGGTACCTGATGATGATAAGGTTATTTAAAATCAAAAAGAATTCAAATATAATCAGCTTATTCAGAGATAAAAAATCAATTGTAATCATCAACAAGATTATAGGATCTTTAAAAATTAATGATGGTCGGGCCTGTCAATTGATCACTGATTTCGTTGGTAGATACATGTACAATTACACATCAACAAGCAGTTGATCTCACCTCCGTTTTCAAAGGACTGCGTCGATTCATTCTAGTAATTTGCATTTGTACATGACTGAAATATCACTGTACGCTGGCATCACATTTTCTATGTCAAAACTCCCTTCTAAAACACTTCAACATTCATTGGAAATCATACCCCGATATTGTGCTATATAGTGCTGGCTTTTTAGCAAGTATTACCTTACATTTTATTTACTTTCTTTTCTAAATAAATGCATTCAGCGTGTTATACTTTATTCCTTCTGAAAATTTCATTAACTTTGAATGTACGATTTTTGGAATCAACACATTTAGACATTACTAGTAAAGCATACTTTCGGTTTGTTTACAGAAGATATCAAATAAAGATTTATGGAAGAATAAAACTATAATAAAAAAAATTAAATTTTCTAAAGCTAATTAAATAATGATTCGTTTTGAATTTGCTGATTTTTTATATAGTAATAAATTAGATATGACTTTCAAGCAATATGTAAAAAATGCAGGTTCACGAATTTTATTTTCTTGTTTTTTTTTTTTTGTTTTTTTTTTTTAAATTTTTCATCTGGTCATCATTAATTCCACAGAGTTTAAACTCTGAACACATTGGTGCATATCTAAGAAAGGAATATATATTTAGTTTTCTGAAAAATACTGTTTTCGTACTATTTCTTAAGACATCTTTTATTTGCTATTCATATTTGCAATTTGCAACTTATATTTTAATCTATATAGAAAGACTTTATATTATATGCGAAATGCCTGCAAAATGCAATAAATTAAAGGTTGCAAATTTCTGGATTTTTTTTAAATGCTTAGGAAAATTCAATTTAAGGTTTTCAACCCGAACTTTAATGGATGGGTTAAAATGCGGAAGAAATGATAGAGAGCAATCTTGTCCTTAACAAGAAGATTTAAATTTTAAATATTTTACTATTCTAGAAACTAATGGAAAAATTATTTGTGTGTAAATCAATTTTGTGAGAAAAGTTCAAACAAGCTTGAAAAAGCTTTTTGGTTCATGGGGATGTGATTTCGTTATTGAAAAGGAAACGAAATACTAGTACTATGATCTGAAATTGAAACTTACGCTTGTATACATTCAACATTTCCACCAGGATTAGGTCACTAACTGACTGTGTTACGAATTCATCCCGCTGAAGACCTTCTTAAATATTAAAAAAAATATATGCATATTATGAAAATATGAAGTTTTAATCCAAAAAGAATCAACGTAAAATATCGTAACAAGAAATTTAAGTAATCAAACTACCTACGTAAACCGTTTCTTCGCCGCCATTTTTATTTACAATAACAACGCTTGGAACGGAATCGCGTGTCCGATTTTCATATTACTCCTTGACGGCGACGTAATATGGAAAATTTCTGGGCGTCATGTGATAAGCTTTTATCCAATCAGCAATCTATTAATTATAATTTGTCTGAAGAATGTATTTCCGTGTTGTATTCTGTCCCTTTGTAACTTTTAAATAATCATTTGAAAAGGCCAAGGAAAGTCCAGTATTTGAATTCTAGACTCCAGAATATAGGCTCAGATCTGTGATTATGGATATTGAAAATCATAGGCTTTTAAAACCCGCACGTTTTACGGGAAAAAAACGCAGCTAAAACAATCCGTCTTTTCCTTAAACTTCAATATGCAATTAAAGGAATTGACGCAGTTAATATAAGCGATATTCTTAATCACAAAAGGATTCACTCTTGTATTTCTGTATTTCAAGTTAATGACTACACCTTGTATTTCCTACAAATATACATCGACCATTGCTTCCAAACTTTTCAATTGCAACAAAACTTTACATGACCTGGATACTGGGTATCTCAATCGTGTTCAATTTCTTCTTCACCCTATAACTATAGTCCTGCTGGACACGTTATTACAGTTGTCATAAATATAGTTAATAATGAAAACCTAAGATTACTTATTTTAAAAGGTCGTAAATATTTAAAAATTACGCCAGACGATAGGCAAGATATGAAAAAGAAGACGTTGACACCTTGTCAGAATGGATTAAATGTATGATATCCATGTTAAGGTCACGCATTAAAAGATTGAGGGGCAATATGAAAACCATCTATCCTTCTGTGTTCAATAAACCAGTGGTGTAAAAAGAATTAGATAGATAACATGATTAGTACGTACTGGTACCTGCAGACAAAGCAGGTAACAACATTGTCTTCGTTTGTAAAGCTCATTATATGAATTGTATTTTAGAAATACTTCGATTTATTTCTACAAGTGGCAATCCTACCTTTGCTAATACTTCCCTTTCTAAGGAAGAAATTTTTCAAAATCATATATCAGTTTTAAATATTTGTAATATTTCACGGAGCCAAAATGAATTTGAACTACCCTATATATATTGAATTCCAAAACTTCATAAAAATCCTTACAAACAAAGATAAATTGCGGGTTCCAGTAAATGTTCAACCAAGCCTCTTTCGTTACTCCTCACCAAGATACTGACAATTGTGAAGGAAAAACTTCAAGAATACTGTTCACCGATATATTCTAGAAGTGGTGTGATCAGATGTGGATACTCAAACATTCTAAAGAACTTTTAGACAATTTGAAATTTTACCAAAATCAACAGCTTAAAACTTACGACTTTTCAACTTTATACACAACCATTCCCCACGATGAATTAAAGTTCAGGCTTTTTGATATCATTGACAGCTGCTTTTTCAATAAAAATGGAACTCGTAAATTTACTTACCTGGTTATTGGTCATTGCAAAATTATTTTGTTAAAACGCATTCTGATTGCACACATAAGTACTCTTGAGTTGACATCAAAGAGATGCTTGAATTTCTGATTGACAATATCTTTGTAGTTTTTGGAGACCAGGTCTTCCAACAATCTATTGGAATTCTCATGGGTACCAATTGCACTCCGTTATTAGCAGACCTATCTTTATTTTCATATGAATTTGTCGAAAATCTTATGAGTGAAATGAAAAAAACACATGTTGTGGCCTTCAACTCGACAGTTAGATATATCGAAGACGTCTTGTCAATTAACAATGGTAATTTCCATACCTACGTCGATATGATAAATCCTGATGAGCTTGAGATAAAAAATACCAGAGAGTCTGACACATCTGTTTCATACCTGGATATTTTACTTTAAAAGACGTAAATGGTTATCTAACAACCAAGCTATATAATAAACGTGATGACTTTAATTTTTCTATCCTCAACTTCCCTTACTTATGCAGCAATATACCTTCATCACCTGCATACGGAGTATGTATATCTCAACTGATTCGATACGCAAGAGCATGTTCTACGTATGAACAAGAAAGTTGATAAAAGAAGAATATCAACAGTCTCGTTTAAAGTCATCATTTCGTAAGTTCTATGGTCGATACAATAATCTTGTTAGCAAATACAATTTATCATTGAGTCAAATGCTGAGTGACGTTTTCATTACAATTATTTGACCATTATTTAAACACTAAATTGACAACGTATTTTCCCGTTATATCTCGATCATGACAAGGAGCACATGGCGGGTGTGACCGGTCAGCAGGGGATGTTCACTCCTTCATGGCACATGATCCCACCTCTGATGTTTTGGAGGTCCGTGTTTGCTCTGCTCCTATTTTGTATTGTTTTATGGACTTAGAGATTGTATTCTGTTCATTATTTCCATATCTTTTATTCATCCATCAGTATTTTTTATATAACAGTCACTTCCAATCATAGCATACAAAATGTACACAATTATGTTTATTTTCTCATATACTATCTCGTTTATTCTATCTTATAACGTTGTGCCCTTTATTTTCTTTATATATTGTATGTCAAATTTGTATTTAAAGTGGCATGTAGGCCCCAGGGGCTGGATGTTGATTGTTATTTTATACAGTTTGCAAAAAAAATTAATTATGTACATATGTCACTTTATGTGTATAAATTTATATGTATATACATGTCACAATACATTACTTAATTACTTACTCATAGATGTTTCATTTGAAAACGACTTTTTATGTCATATCTTCGCTCAGTGCTCAGTGTTACTATTTGATCAGGGTGAATTGATGAAAAACTTATCAACAAAAATAAGCATTGATTCTGCAAACTTTGTCATTTTTTGCCACAGCAAGAAAAGGAAAGTTAGAAGAGACATACTGATAATGCAACAATTTAATATTGACAACGAATATCTTTATTTCAGCTTAAATATAACTTTTCACATCTCATTTATGCATTCTTTCTAATAGCCTTTGCTTTAAGCTAGTTAGCCTATGAGCCTGTTTCGTATTTGAATAAAAGTTTTCTATGCCAAAACTAGTTCATATATTTCTTAAACAACATAGGATTACAGTGTGTCTAGGGCTCTGTCTCTCCATCTCTTCAAGCTTGTAAAATTGATTAATTATTTTGGTCAATTTTATGTTAATTTTCAGCCTAATTTTTCGTCTCATAAACTTCAACCAATGATACACATTTTGATCTATGGATTGATGCATGTAGCTGTTGGCTCTTGATTTTCCATGTATACGAGGGTTTTTAGAAAATTTTGCGGATACGTTTTATCGTGAGCGCTATTTTTCCATGAAACAGGTAAAACTACATGTACATGTATATATAATAGTCAAATTAATCATTTTTCAGATAAAAAGCCAAACATGATGTTGAAACAAATCCTTTTGATTTTCTACGTTCAGAATTACATGTAAGTTGCTTTTCTCCTCTTTCTTATACAAATAAAATAATAAATGTGTATACACATACAAATGTATTTATGAAAAAACGGTAAAAAAGTTGACAATTAGAAGGGATAATTACTTCTCATTAGAAGAAAGGAAAAAGATAAAAGGTACAATTTCTATTACCTTAAATTGACTTCATTAAACCACCGTATATAGTTTTTTGATTTTAGTTGCCATTTCATATATTTGAATAAATGTTAATAGTCTAAATTGACACACTCCATAAACAAACACAAAATTTCATTTTTTGTGGAGACAATAAAGAAAAGAGAATATAAAAGTTTTTTCAAAAGCAAAATTATATCTCGTTTTCCTCAGAAATATTGTGAATTCCGAAATGCTGTGCAACTCAAAACTAGCGTTGCAATGGCCCAGAACCGTGTGTCAACCAAAACGTTGCCCTGGGCAAAATACGGTAAGTACGTACATATATAATTTTTTATTTATTTTGGTTAGTCAACATTAAGTTTCCATTGTATTTTATAATGAAAACGTCAACATCGTAAAATTAAGGAAGCTAATGAATGCCAAGATAATTTAAGTTAAAAGTAATACAATTTTTATCGACGGAGAATGGGTCTAGATCTTACTATTACATTACTTCAGATCTTATCTATCTAACACAAAGTTATAATTATGCAATTGAGCTATAAGATGCCTCAATATCTAATACATAGTTATGTGACGCTATTTTTTTTTCAAATAATTCTAAAAGTAGAAATGAAGATATTGACACAAATGGATTTTTTTAAATAGCAACATCGTATAACATAAATTATTTAAAGGATAATCATTATTATACAGAATATTTCTTTCATTTTTGGAACTCTCAAATATCATACAATTTTACTTTTTTTAACGGCATTTAGATATAATTATGCCGGGTATGCATGTTTAATCTGTTTCCACGCTGCAAATACGTATACTACATGTAGTTTACAATATAATGTTAAACTTTACTTTTGTGCAGAATTACCACCAATCATTTGTATATCTTTGTCTTTTTATTATACGATGTTTCTGAGGAAACGAATGGCTCTTGGCTTATTTCTGTCATTTTCGAGTAGTAATTTATAATGACAATAATAAGGCTTAATGATGTGTATTACCAATTGCGTGTCTTAACTAACTTTAATGCTTTGAAGTAAAAAAATGTTTTTAAAAAATGCGTAACACACATCATTATTAGAAGTCTTTTTCTTTTCAGCGAAAGTCGAAATGTAGAGATGACGTTAAAGAATCATTAAACCAAAACGATGGAAAATTCAATAGATTCACAATTCATGGCCTCTGGTAATTAAAAAGGAGTTCAACAACTTATCAAACGACATTTATTAGGCTATTAGATTGACAAAGCATTATAAAAGGAACAGTAATATCGATTTCCGTGAAGTATACATGTATATATTCTTATATGCACGTCATTCCTTATTTCAGTATATATTAAGAACTATTTCAATAATTCTTTTTAACGTTATTTTTCAGGGAGGACGGGGATGATTGCAATAACAGCAGTCCTGAATTTGATATAGACAAGGTAATTTCTTTCATGAATTTTAGTTATTTATAACATGTTTAAAAAAAGAAATTAAAATGAAACTACCCCTTTCCTGTGTTTTTAAAGTTACTTTGATGATTTAATACCTTTACAGTACATCTGAGTTAAAATTCATATTGAATTTGTCATATCACAATATGATTGGTCAGTTTCTGTCTCTCTGTAACCTTTTGAGGTTTGAAAATTTCAAGAACAAGTCGCGCAATTTAAATCAAAGTTACTACAAATCAGTCCTGGGTAAAGGGATTCGTAGTTTTGAAAAATGAATGAACATGCCCTCTTCAAAGGGAAAATACTTGATAGTGAAAAAAAGTTTATGGCATTTTAAATTCTATTTTCTTCGAATCAGGTCGAAAATATGAAAAAAAAAATACAGGTCGCAAATATGAAAAAAAATACATGAAAGCTATTCATGTAGATTTCAGTTTATTTAAACTATACCCCGCGGGTAGTTTGCTCGTCTGCTTGTTTGTTTTTAACTTCAATCTCAAGATTTTTTCACTCATATGGAGCCACTAACAATTGCCGGTGGAGAGCTGCGAATTTTGTCTTCTATTCGACACACAGGGCCATTTAGCAGGAAGGGATCTTTTCATGCTCCACATACTGCGATACGGGACATCGGTTTATGCGGTCTGATTCAAAGGACCGGTTTGTTACAAAGCACTTTGAAAAGTTACGCACTTTGAAAATAGTTTTCAAAGTGCGATAAATTTCCGGACCAATCTAACGCACTTTGAAAAAAATATTTTTTTTTCAAAGTGCATTAATATCGACCATATTAACGCACTTTGAAAAAATGTAAAGATTGATCAATATTCATACAAATAATTGGTGTAATAAATAACAGATCGTGGTTGGATAACATTTTTATGATAAAGTCACTTTAGGACCAGAGATATTGACGTTTAAAATATTTGAAGTTTTGATAAAAAAAAAGGAAAAGGGTCTTGAAAAAAAGAGTGACGATTGTTTAAGATAATTCTAGTCTTTGATGAGTAGATGTAAAGGGGGGACTAACAGTGGACAGCTTTAAGCAACTTAGCATTTATCATAATAAAAAGGGGGAAATTTGATTGTTCAAAACTATGAAAATTCTTTCTCTCTCATACGTTTTACTGTACTTCAGAATTTCTAGTTTTCATCTGTTTTAATTAACTCATTTAATATTGAAAAGTTTTCAACGTCATACCAGTTAGGTAAATACATAGTTATATAGCATAGACATCGAAACCGGTGAAGGGCAAGGGGAGGGGGCTAAGCCCCCCACTTATTTTGGAAAGATATATACATTGTATTAGCATTGAAAATGCAGCTTACCCTTTTTGGGTTTATTGCTCCCCTCCCCCGTTTGTTACCGACACCTGTGTATTGGAAAAATAAAGATTTAGACTGAGGAATTTTATACTCACCTTCTCCTCTTTTCGACAGGAATAAATCATTTCTTTTTTTTTGTTTAGGGTTAGTTTTATGAAAGATATATAACAAATAAAATCTTTCCATTACTAAAATATGATTTATTTTTTTCAAAATGCGTTAAGTGTCTCCATAGTAAAATATATTGATGTAGACTCTAAACGCACTTTGAAAATTTTTTTCAAAGTGCCTTGATTTTGTCCCAATTTTTACGCACTTTAAAATTTTTTTTAAAGTGCGTAATTTTTTCAAAGTGCGTTGCCACACCGGTTTCTACGTCGCAGAACAGGATTCGAACATGTGACGTAAGGATCAACTCCTTATTCCGCGACTCTAGAACAGACACCCGAACCACTCCGCATTGCGGTCAGTAGTTTTTTTTCAAACAGGCAGTCATGCATGCTTATCATATTTATGTATTTAGTTTATTTAATATCCAGGAACAGAGAAGAAGATTTGCAAAGAATTAATGCATTTTCACTACAAAATCAATAGAGCCAAGTCCTAACACAAGAACCTTTTTCATATTCTTATTTTTTTAGAGACATTCTTGCTCATCATAACTATATAGGGTGAATTCACCATGCATCGGATACCCTTGTACTTCAACAAGTTCTAGCGATATCGCTACCGACGGAAAATTATCAAAATGGAGTTTAACATTTAGTTTGTGATTAAAATAACAATTTAGGACACAATTATATGCTGTTTACTGTGAAAATATCGCCAAAAATCGAGTTTTTAGAAAAAACTGAAAATTCACCATGGATCGGACATTGTTCACCATGCATCGGACAGACGGTATGGAGACCGGAAAAATATCAAACCTTTATCACAGTGCTTTAAAATCCTTGATATGGATATATTTTCATCTTTTATCTCAGAAATAACCCTCAACTTTAATTTAATCGACGATATTATTGCACAAATGTAGAACGTTTCTCGAGACCTCACTCTGCCTTAGAAATGCTTTAAAATGCTTATAATGTCGTAATTCGCGCCTTTTTTGTCATGGTTTATCATGCTCTGGTTTGTAGAAATAAATTGAGTAAAATTCCAGACGTCATATATCGATAACTTGTATTTTGACTGAAAATATAGAGTTTTTATTTTCTTTTTCCGCAAAAAACAGCTGTCAGCTGGGTTCTGTATGAAAATGGTAGTGCTTACCTTTGCATCGAAAAGTGTCCGATGCATGGTTAATTTGTGTCCGATGTACGGTGAAAATAGCATACTAGTAAAAACCAGCTCTAATAAGAATTAAACAAATATTGAAGTGAAATTTAATTATAATTTATGTAAAATTACCAATCCCTGACAAAATTCACCAAAGTCCGACTCGTTCCGTGGAAGTTGAATTTAAAAGAACGATAACTCTAAAAATTGCAAAATCATAAATTTCGGGTTATTCCCCTTTGATGATGTAAAATATGACGTAACTTCAAGGCCATTTGTGGGGTATTTTTATCCCAACATGATAAACACAATCGGTATTATTAAAAAATTTCAATCTTCATCTTTATGACAGAAACAAGTAAATACACAGAACTCTTGGGATGAAAGAGAGTTTAATGCCTAAAGTTGTCCGAAGCAAGGTTTGTGTCCGATGCATGGTGAACTCACCCTACTTAGTTAGTTTATTTAATATATAGGAGCAGAGAAGGAGATTAAAAAAAATAATGCATTTTTCAAATATAATTAATAAAGCCTAGTACTTATACCAGAATCCCTGAGCCTAGGACCATGAAATTCCTGAATTTTGAAAGAGGCACTATGTACGTAGTTAATTTATTTAATAACCAAGAGCAGAGAAGATTTTCTAAAGAAATTCTGCAATGCAATGTCTCTTTATTATCTACCGGTATATAATCCCACCAAAGCACCATAACCCCTTGACCGGTAGGCCCTGCTTTCCAATTTTTGTAGAAAGTTCGATACTTTTTACAATTATGCCTATTTGACTGCTTGATGTCTAGGAGTAAAGAAGAATTAAGAATTCGGTTGCGGAATATTTTGCTAAAATGTTCAGCAATCAAATTCTGTAACTTTGAATTGACTTCTTTCTTTCAGGTACAAGACTACAATGAAAGCCTTTGGCAAAATATGCCAAACCTGCTTGGCAACAATACTGATTTCTGGTAACTGAACATTTTTAGCAATTGGTATGGTTTGTTTTCTTAGCGACAAAAAAAAAAAAATACCTCATGGATATGTACAAAATTCATTTTCAACAATTTTCTAAAATATTATCAAACTAGTTGACAATGACTTTTAATGAAAATAATATGTCTCTATGAAAACATTAAAAAGCAAATATTTACTTCTAAAATTATATATGAGATTGATAAGTTAATTTTGAGAGGACTAAAGAATTGAAGAGAATTTACTTACGTAAATTATTTAGAATTAATGATTGATTGATTGTATATTGTTCAACGTCCCTCTAGAGAATTTTCACTCTAGAGACACCACCACTTGCCGGTAGAGAGCTGCAAATTTTGTCCTTTACTCGGCATTCAGGGTCATTGAACAGGGAGGGATCTTTTTTGTGCCAGCACCTACTGCGACACGGGACCTCGGTTTTAACGGTCTCATCCGAAGGACCAGTCTCGAAGTCCTACAGTGGGATTCGAACACGCGACGTAAGGTTTGACTCCTCACTTCGCGACTCTGGAGCAGACGCTCTAACCGCTGCGCCACACGGGCGATTAAAATTAATGAAAATTATAACATTTGAAACCATGAAATTTCACCTTTAAAAATAGAAATTTAAAATTACATGTCTACGAGGGGTGCTCAAAACGTTCGTGAACTAATTGAATAACTTCCATGTAATAAACAATATTTTGTTTCAGTGTTGATTTTATTTTAAATTAGCCTTCTCTAATTTTAATGCATATCTGACACTGTTTTGCTCATGCGCGAATCACGTGATATAGGCAGTCACGTGACCCCCTCCATAGCCTTCTGTCACAAAAGCTGAAAGTTTTTTTTCTGACTTTTATTATTCTGCCATTTGCATAGTTAACCGCTATTTCTGATACACCACGCAAAGCACTGGAAACAGTTTATACTTTTATTTACATCTTGTAAGTCTGCATGTTAAATTTGATGACAACGCGTGATGTATGATGACATGACGTATAACGACTGACGATGGTGACTTACAATGGAAATGTATAACGGTAAGAAGCTACAAAATAACAATAACTTTCATAAATATAATGTTTCACAGCTCAAAAAATGTTACAAGTTCATTTAAACACTAGTAAATAAAACAATTCACCTTCAAAAATACAAAAATACAATAGTCTAGCCAAGCAAATAAATTTACAAACTTGCAGAAAGAATTACAAAGTTTACACTTAAAAATAAATAAAGAATGTCCATATGTAAATCTGTATAGCAATAAATCTATAATATGTTACAATTCAAATAAATTCTTGAACCAAATTATCAAAAAGAATAATTAAAAACTTACATTTGTGACTTGGATACCCCAACAATCTAATGGCGTTAAAACTGCAAGGACAGTGAATTTTCAGTCAAAGGAGATGATTTTATATACCAGTTTACAAAAAAAAAACATTTGTGTGTCGAAAGTCCCCCTTCTCACGGTACCGATGCCTATGCTACACCCAAATATATGTATTTGCATAACTAGTATGATGTTGTAAACTTTCAATAAGTTTTAGTTTACATAAAATGTATGCAAACTTGAAAAATTTAAGTACAGTAAAACATTTTATGCTTCCTCCTTCCTTTACCTCAACATAACATAAACACCATATATGTTGAAATTGTAATTTATTGATCAAATAAATCTTGATCATCAATCCAAACATGTAGTAGAAACAAATAAAATTATCAACCAAAATATTCCTAAAACTACATGCAATTATACTGTTCACAAAAATAAACAAATATACAAAAGTGTGTACAAAATGCAATCAGTACTTCAAAACCAAACACTCAAGAGTTTACTTTTTCATACAATGAACATAGCTAAGTTAAAAATTGACTTTGAATCTGTCTCGAAAAACAGACAGACATACACACAAATTTACACACATAAATACATATACGTAAACTTAAAAAGTAACATGTATGGGACTAACAGATAAGTTCAAATGTTAATAATCAAATAATGGGCAAAGGTGGGGTCCATTAGGAGATAAAGAATTTTCAAAGTATGGAAAAATCAAATTCGCACACTTTCACATCCTGAAGTTACCTTATCACCGAAAAGTTATCCAAAAGATTCAATAATTTTTCATAAGATTTGCAAGAAAATAGACTAAGCCATACACATTTTATTCAAAGCATTTTAATATGGTCGATTTAACGCACTTTGAAAAGAAATTTTATTTTTGCAAAGTGCGTAAGCTTGGTCCCAAATTTAATGCACTTTGAAAATCTTTTTCTAAGTACGAAATTTTTTTTTAAAGTGCGTTGTAACATAGCACTCTCGTTTTCAATCTATAAGCAATTTTTTATACACATAACCTTATATGAAAAGGACTATGGCTACAAAACTTGCATTGCTTTTATTTCGTATTGGGAAAATCATTTTTTTTTTTTTTTTTTTTTTTTTTTTTTTTTTTACAAAATATCGTGCTCCAAATTACATCTTGAGGTGAGATTAATTTTTCATTAATAAGCTTTATTTTTTAATTGAGTGTTTGTAAAGGTTAGTTTATTTAAATGATTTTAATCACAAAAAATGAAGTGCATTGATGGGAAGACATTTTTGAAAGATTCCAGAAGATGTTATTATCATATCTTGTTCTTTGGATTCCTTGAATTCCTTGAATTGCGGATATGATTATTTTTCTTAGAGTCTTGAAAAGACTAAAACATCAATATAAATATTTTAAAAAGCACACGGTAGGTGTGGCCGGAATTGCATCTGATTCCACCTATGATGTTTAGAAGATCATTCCTGCTCCCAACTGAAATTATTTGAATGGATATTTGAACTTTCCTATCGATCGTTCCAAATCTCGATCTTTAACCTTTTATTTGTAGGGAGCACGAATGGAACAAACACGGGAACAAAACAGGACTAGAAATTGGTGAATACTTTAACACGACCCTACAACTCTATGATAAATATGGTTACATGGCAACAAGGTAAGAACTCTAAGTATTTCTTTTAAAAAATGATTAAAAGCTATAAAGCAAGTTAGGCAAAGCAACTAATAATTACAATTAAAATATGGAATTAGGCAGTGTCTATATAATAAAAAGTGCAAGACTAGTGATGTATACGTACAAGGACATGAAGATGAGGATCATTATTATCATCATCATCATCATACATGTAAAAACATTGATAATCGATATATAGTTAGATAAAAACAAAAGAAGGACATTGTGTAAGTTCTTATATTATCCTGATCTACATCTATATCTATCTTTATATAAGATTTGATTTATATATATACATGTATATCATCAAATATTATTCTCTATTCGGATCGTTGATAAAAAGAATATTGCACATTATTTTAGTCTGAATGTGCAAATGTATAGAGATTGCTAGAAAAAGTTTTGGTAGGGATATTCATATTATTGCTTTTTTTATAGATCTCTTCTTGACGATTGTTTTGCCCAAAATACTGAAGTGAATATTGAGGTTAGTTTTATATTGACTCATGTTACCTACTGGTAAGGCAAGCAATTGATGTCTCTCTCTCTGTATATTTAATGTTTTTACTCTGAACATTTCATATCTTCCAAAACTGACACATTGTTTAAGATAAAGAAGGACGACATATTTTATCTGTAATCTCCTTGTACAAAAAATTTATAAATTTTAAATTTCTAATATAGAATCAACACATGTTCAACTGGCAAATTTAGCAGAGGAGTTGGTTTGCTAATCCTTTTTGGAAAAAAATAACACACATAGATTGTGACACATATAAAAGAAGAACTGGATCAAAAGATTGTAAAATGCACCAGTTTGTTTTTTAAATAACGCCTCTCTGGGAATGAGAAGTTTTCAAATGGGACATGAAACAAATAAGAAATTAATCTTAAATCTGTTCAACAAACCTAAAGTGATTTATATGAGCGCTTTGGCCAATGTACCTTTGCTTAATCCTAATTACTAACTTGTTTTTATAATGTAAGTAATGTTTCCGTTTTTAGACGGTGACTATATATAACCACATGCTATTGCTGCTGGTCTGGGCTCTGAATAAACAACATGTAAACACACGTGGACCCCAGCGGAGATTTTTGAAGAGTCAAAATAATAAAAGTAGACTTGTTTCGATGTATGAAAATAAAATGTTCATAGTTAACAAATACTTTCAAGTTATTTCAAAGACATTTCGTTGATGGACACAAAGCCTAATTTCTGATATTTGCCATTATCAATATTTCCCGCCTCATGAATATTCATTGAGTTACGCCGAACTACAACTACTTGTACACCAACCGACTCGTATTTTCGTATGCAAACCATAGAAGTAAATTCGTACATATTTTTTTTCGTTTTTTCTCACATGTGCGAAAAGTCATATCGTACACACATTGTGTTAGTTTAGAATTACAATTATTGACAGAATATTTGATGAAAAATATTTGTAGATAATTGTTTCGCTTTCCAACTCCGAAATCAAATAATTATAATTGCTAACCAATACACGCGCGGCTATTTCTTAAATACTATTTTGTGGAATTTTTATACAATTAAACTTAAGTACTAGTTTATTATAATTTAACTAAGTCTTTTGGTTGTTTGAATGAATTTGGGAATCAAATCAAATCAAAATCAAAAAAATCAAATCCACGGGTAAAACAAACAACTATAGGAATAGGGAAAGACGCTGTCAATGTTGACAGCCAATATATAAGATAGCTATTTAGTTGAATGATTGTAAACATATTGTCCATAAATCTAATACAAATAAATCTTCACAAGGTCCCATTGGTGCGTGAGATTGGTTCCTGACTGTCACAGTATTTGAAGAATTAAGGGAAACTCAACTATGTGAATCAGTGAAATTCCTTAATTTAAGAGGGAGTTATCCAATATGTTATTAGCAAAGGGGAAAAGACACTTTGACATTATCATCCGTTTGTCATAAGGCGACACACTACATTGTATAAAATCTTATAATTTGTTTATTTATGTATATTTCAGTTTGAAGTTTGATATGTTTTTTTAATGAAAAATGTGCTCAAGAATAGTAAAAATTTTATATCACAGTGAGAATTTATAACACTTTTTAGTACAAAAATATAAAGAGCCATAGCGCATTTGATAGTCACTTTTGCCTAATCCACTAGTGATTTTTTTAGTACATTGTTTAACCAAAATGTTGTCATACAATATTAGTTAATACATGCCTTAATGCAAATCACACAAAAATGATATTTAAACAGTCCAAAACTATTTTAATGACAAAAGGCATAGCTGCTAGCTTGTTTTATTCTTAAAATATTCTAAAAATCTTGTTTAGAATAAGAGCATTGAATAAGTAAAATGATTGTCATGTAACAAAATTGCATCCATGAAAATATATAATTCTGGTCCACAAATGATTACATACATGTAGTTGGATTTTGAATTGAAGAGGCATATGTATCTATAAATAGAAACAGGTGATTTCCTTTTAAATACTTGAGTCGGCCGTATTGTGAAAAAAATGAAATAAACTTTTATAATTTCCATATCATTTTACAAATTCTTACAACATTTTATCTTATTTAATGCTTGTCGCCATTTGAAGTAGCGGGTTTGCTCCGGAGTCACGGACCTGAAGGAATCTATCCTTACGTCGCGGATTCGACTCCCACTGCGGGACATGCCATTAATTCAGATCCCATGTCGCAATAATTGCTAACCAGAAAAATATCCTTCGCTGCTCAAAATTAATTCTCAAAATGGACGTTAAACAAAATCATTCATGCCACCGTCTTTCAGTACTCGCAATACTTTGATTCTATTCAAATTGCTCAACATAAATCTGAATATTGCAAACGTCCTTATTTGATAAGGAAGTTACAATTGCAAGTATGTACTAGGATTGTCTTTATATGTTGATAATTAAACAACCGTTTGCAGGAATTTGATTTTAATTTACAGATGAATAAAAGTTTTATTCGTTGAATAAGTACAGTGTAAAAATCTTTTTTTAAAGCTGGTAAAAAACTATATAAAAATGAATTGTACAGCCATGTATTTTCTTTAAAAACATGTAATTTAACATGTAAAAGCAAAAAAATATATCCGAGAAAAAAGGAAAGAAACAGGAACAATTGTTCAAATAAAGATAGAATTCTTGAAAATTATAACTAGGGAATCTGTAATTTTTTTTGGTATACGGAAAAGAGAATAATATTTTAAAAACTGTTCCTATTTTAGTCATGTTACTACTTTCGTATGGATATTTATTTGTGATTCGTTTTAATACAAAAAGAAAAGTATATAATATAATATTTAATTATGAAAATAGATTATGTTTATAATAATTAGATCGAAAATTTAAGTATTACGTCTTAGGAAAAGTAAAAATTAAGATAATGAATTTGACTTGACCTTTTTACGTTTTCAAGATTTTTCTGATTTTGGTAAAACAGTCCTAAGGAAATGAACTTTTCCGACTCTGTTTTTTTTTTAATCCATCATAAATATTATATTCTTAAGCTTATGTCATATACGTACATGCATTTTATTAAAAATTTTACTTAGGTATCACAATTTTGAGTTTAAAAATGGCATTGACATGTGACTTTCTGTCAACGATCTGCATGAAAGTACTTTCCACTTATAGCAGAAACAAACGGAATTTCTGGCTTTACCTTGAAATATTTTTATCATATTTTCAGGGTTTATCGAAATGCATTAATTATAGATACAGGGAGTATTATCCCTTTACACAACTTTCCGTTTAGTTGTACTTCACTCCAAAAATGCACTTGTGGCGCAAGCGCTTTCCTAGAGTCCATCTCCTACTAAGATAGCAGACATACAGACAACTCAGATCCAGACCTATCCTATCATGTTAACACCTGGAATGATACACGTAACACCTGTATTAAGTTTCATAACTTTATTAATGACACTTTGAGCACAAAAACACAAATTTATTACAATAAACATAAATGGATATAAAGAAGCCGCAATTTTTTTTGTGGGGGACTGGGGATACCTACAAATGTACCAAAATAACAATGGGCTCACAGGGGGGCCGAGTGTAAGCACAAGTGCCCGAACCGAACGGTCACAACGTTATGGACCAGTGTATAATGGACTGCCCTTCTCCAGCGCCACCTGGTGTACCCATTTACTTTACCAGACTATGGCCTCCCCCTGCTTGTGCGACGTGGTGGTGGAACCAGCCATGACAGGCCATGAAGCACGGATGTTATCATATAATGTTACTTCAGACCACTTATGTGCTACATCTCCTTATGTATTACATACCAAAACGCCACCCCCCCCCCTGCTTTGAGGCAGGTGGGGAGACAACCAGTTTATGGTGCCACTTGATCCCAACATACACAAAAGTATCCCCCAGTCCCCATCCCCCCATCCCGGAATTGTGACAATTAGAAAGTGTTAGAGGATGAGGTCCCAATTATGATTTTTTCCCTTTTATAATTAACTAGGCTTCCCTTGTTATGAAAGAGGTGTTTGTGGTAGATAACTTACACTACATGCTAATATTTTTATCATAATTTCAGAGTTTATCGCAATGCATTATACCAAACCAGACAATAGAAATTGCAGTATACAGGGTAAGTTGCCCTGTATTAAATGCTTTATTATGCTGTAATTATAATGTCTTAAAATTTAAAACACTATTTCAAACACTGTATTAATGTAGAATAATTATAAAGAAAACCTCATTATTTGATTGTTTGATTTTAATTGCATTCATATGCAGTAGAATTTATTGAAAACCTATTCATCAAAATAGAACACTTGCTGTGGCTCTAACATTCAACTTGATATTTAGATGTTTTGTCGACATTTTACTCTTTTAATAAAATTATTCGATATATACATCAACTTGATATGTAGTATCAAACTTTAAACAAATAACACCGTGGAGCTAGGTTGATATATGTATGAGATATCTGGATATCTAGCTTGAAAAAGTTTAAGGTAATTTAACGAATAAGTATAATAAACTTGATGACTTAAACTTTTCATCGATAACTTCTCTTCATCTTATCGTGTAAAAAGTGAGTTATGTCCAAGACACGATGTAGTTACGATATCGACACATTACTTTTTTTATAGTTTACTATAATAGTTCTATATTCTCATGTGTATATTATAATTCTTTTTGTTTTAAGACTATTTCCTTACTGTTAATATCCTCGATATCGTGCTGATATCGAATCATGGTTGCTCTAGGAATTGTGATTTCCATCCTTATTATGGTGTTTTTAACAATTGTTACTTAAACATTTCTTGATAAATCTTTCCCTGGTGTGTCGATATCGTCGATATCGACGATATCGCTTCGATATCGAATCATGTTTGCTTAGCCCTTGGTAAATACCTTCCCTGTTTCTTTGAATGTGTTTATGTTTAAATACTTTACTTTTACGAAGATTTTACCTGCCGTCGATATCGACGATATCGTATCGATATCGTATCATGATTGTTAAGAGCATATTACTTTATCAATCTTCATCCTAATATAAAAACTTTATTTTTACATCACTTCTGTGTTTAAAAAGTTTACCTTACTGTCGATATCGTCGATATCGACGATATCGTGTCGATATCGAATCATGATTGTTAAAATATTTTCAAGAATTTTCACACTAATCCAATATCTTACTTTTAATCTAATCTAAAACAATAACAACCCTAAAATTTTCTTTATCATATTAATTTATTTTTATATCCAATAAGGAATCAATTTGGACTTCACTTGTGACTTTCTAAAATTATGTTATACCTCAATGTGAAAATAAATTGTGCAAATAGGATCGATATCGATACGATATCGTCATGATATTGTCGATATCGATGACATCGACATAATATAGAGTCTCAAATACAGCACCAGGTATTTCCAATTAATAGTGCTGATTACGATCGATATCGATACGATATCAACATAATATTGTCGATATCGTCGATATCGACATCATATTTGTTCTTGGACATGTTATAAAAAGTGCCTAATAGTATATCGTCTGCAGGGTTTGTACCAAACTTTAGAATGTTCTACGTATGAACACTTTCCAAAATGAGGCAAATAAATGACAAATTTGTGGATAAAGAATATATTATAAACAGACAGAGAGCATGTAGGACCAGTTGACATTCCTTACTCATGCATGCCACCAATCTCAACCTATGATGATTTAAGAGATCAGCATTTACTCTTTTCCCGACACCTGTTGTTTGTGCTTGCTTATTTTCCATTTTCTTTATAATTTATTGTTGTTATCTATTATTTTTGTTGTTAAATGTTTATATTTTAGGCAAAGTTACCCGATGACAACAGAGCTAGGGTTCGTATTATTCATGATATTGTTCAATGCATCTTTTTAAGGACTAAATTCCCTAAACTGTGGATACCAATTTTTAAAAACAATGAATATGAGAAAAGAATTTAAAAACCACGACAAATGTAATGTTCTCATGCTTTTAAAAATATTTTATGCTTATACTATTAATATGATAGATTTCTTCGTTAAAGTCGATTCTGGCCTCTTTTATAGTGTTTATAATGTAGTTTAAAATTTTATATTCCATGTTTCAAAGACACAATCCCATTTGTGTTTCTAAGAATTAAGTTAGAAACTTTTTTCCAATGCGAGCATATATTTTTTTTTAGTAAATCTGATATCATTTTACAAATTACACAGTAATCAAAGATTTAGCATCACTTTAAACATGTTACAGTAATACTCGTCTAAAATGAATAGGCATTTTTCATGTAAAGAAAAAATAAAAAAAAATAAAAAATTTTTATATGAAAACTAATGTGAGATTTATATAATGCTTTTTATATAGTAAACAGGTACATAGTATTAGTCTTTTAAAGCTAGTCATGTTTATGATTTGCTTGACCTAGTTCTTTTTTACCTATCAAAGGTATATAAAATTATATTATAAAGTACATGCATATGGCTTAATTTCAGGATTATTTTATGGAGATACGGATTTGTTTTAACAGAACTTTTCATTCTATCGATTGTGCCCCACCTAAAAATTCAAATATAAGTATTAGATTACCACCCGTTGGCACAATTACTAAAAGATCCGCAGCAGATGTTTCTTTTGTGGAGACTGACATCACTGATGAATTCGATGAGTGTCCATTACAACCTGACAGCTCTCAAGGAGCAATTGCTTTTCTCGCAAGAAAACTAATGTTACTTCCCTTACTTCATCTAGGAGCTTGTATCTACAATTGACAAAAATGATAGATATACTGTTGAATACAATCTACAATTTTTTTTATATCAATATGCTTTCAGTAAAGTTTCAATCATTATATTTGAGGAAATAGCTAATTGCAGCCCGGAGGACCGGGCTGCTCTATACAGATAAGTTTAAGTGTTGGTGTATAGTGATTGAGGTGGGACAAGTTATTCAGAATTAAAGGTTTTCTAAACATTAAATAGATTGTTAATTAGAAGGTTCTTACGTTTTAAAAATTACGAAATACATAATATATTTACTTGCATAAAGTGAGTCTGTAAGGTTATGTATGTTTTTTTATATTTAATATACGAGTATAAAGTTGCTTATCATTTACTATTTAAAAAACGACAGGTCCCTTTCTTTTACTTATCGCAAAAAAACGTACTCTACACAGTTCGTGTTTTATATTCTTAAAGTGAAATACATTTTTGAATATAGATGGTGCATTTGTCTGATTTCAATTTTTATTTTATGCAGCCAACATTTACTTGAGGTATTAATAATGTTTAAAAGGATATCGTTTTCGTTCAATTTTCATCCGACTATAAGTTTTTATAAAATATTCTCGACTATCGTCTTCATCATTTAGACGCAGCCCTTTTTCTCACATATCGAAGCGGTTTGATGATCAAAACTAATTTCCACTGTTTACTTTATTTATTTCCCGAGCGGCAATTGCAGGTTAAATCAATGTTTTCTTGTTCTACAATGTTATATATTAAAAATAATGTTGTGTTATCTAATTCATTTCTTTTGATTTTCATCATTCAAATAGTTTTAAATGAATTAATAATATTATACAATTAATACAATTCCTCTTAGGTAAATACTAATACATGTTCATTTCAAAGAGCTACAAAGAATATTTGACATTCATGTATCATTTAAATTAATTGATTTTTTTTATTATTTTTTCCCATTTCCCACAGTTATAAATCAAATCATACAATACATTCTTTAAAAAAAGTTTTTCACAGCATTCATGGTTTTAAATATATAAAAACTCAAACTTGTAAAATACATGATAAGCAGAGATTTAAACATCTGTGATCATTTTGAACATACTAAACAATGGTAAATTATGTAAACAACATTGTTTTGGGTTTAATTACAGTACCAAAATGAAAACAATGAAAATAAGCTGACTTTTTCGTATGTTTCTGTTCATATTTGATATAATACATGTACCATGATTTTTATTTGTATTTATAACCCTTATTGCAGTGGAAAAGTGTATATAAAAAGACTCCATCAAATCCCACTGCTACTTGTACTGAGGGCCAGGTCACCCTCTAGTATGGGTCCTTCATTTACCCCGGTATATGTCTGAAAAAGATTATAATGGTATTTCAGATCTAAAAGGAAAGAAATTTAGTTTTTTCACATGTATTTAAAATTATTATTATTATTATAAAGAAATAAAAAAGAGGATCATAAAAAGAATATGCCATCTTAATGGTACACTTTATTTCGTTGTAGCATATTAAAATTGCTTATCTGATATTGTATTTAATAAAATTCTGATTGTGAACGTAAGTTGGAGCCTTGCTTTTAACTTCTCTTACGGAATTGGATTCTCGAATTTGGACCACCTTCCCCTCTTTTTAAAAATGATACTTCATGCCTTCATTAATCAGAAAAATCTTTATTTCTGGTCCTCTGGAAAACCAGTTCTACTTCCACGTTTGCGCAAAATGGTCATGGTTTGAGAAATCATGATATATTCAGGCTCGTACATATACATTGGCATCCTCGTTCTGTATAGAATGTTCGGTAGCAAAGACTTGTTTAAGTAGCAAAGACTTTAACAACTATTTCTGAAAAATTATAATGTGTTGTATTTAGATAGAGACTAATGGACATCCTGATAACTTTTTAAAAAATATCTCTTACACAAACAAGTTATATTTGCAGCACCCTTGAGAGCTTGCATGCATTTTTAGACACTTTTTATTGGAATATGTGCACAGTCTCAAGATACTGTAATGCGCTCTTGGAGCATGTACGAGATACATCTTCACAAAACATGCCTTGATCTTTCGTTCACAATTTGACCTGAATTTGTAAGCACAAAAATTTTCAATGATAAATTGGGTGTAGATAATTATCATAATTATACATGTACATTTTTACATAAAAAATTATGTATTAATACATTTTTTCACCTCAATGAATCTATTTCTCAGTCATCTAAATAAAGGGTGTTAGAAAAATAGTAAGCAAATTGAATTACATTGTTTTTTTTTTCATATTCTTAAAGAAAACAATTAGGTTTTGAACTTTATATACACAAAATTTTTAATAACCATTAGAATATTTGTTGGAAGTTATTTATTTGACTGTTTGACTGTATATTGTTTAACGTCCCTCTCGAGAATTTTTCACTCATATAGAAATCTCCACTTGCCGGTGGAGATCTACAAATTTTGTCTCATGCTCGGCACTCAGTGACATTGAGCAGGGATGAATCTTTTTCGTGCCAGCACCTACTGTGTCACGGGACCTCGGTTTATACGGTCTCATCCAAAGGATCGGTATCCACGTTCCACAGCGGGATTCAAACACGCGACTCTAGAGCTAAAAAAACATAATGAACACGGCTTACCTTTTTCAAATATTTTGGACAGGCACGTTGTGGAGTGCATACCAGATAGGGGAGCATAGCGGCATAGGGATCACTATACCCGAAGTCTGTCTACATGTAGCTGTCTGTCTGTACGTCACACATTGTATATCTTTGTATCTCAAGAACTGTAAGAGATATGGACTTGATACATTGCTTGGCAATATGGCATTTGTAAATTGTAATAGTTACCGACCTCGTGACCTTTGACCTTGTCCTTTGATCACGTTCACTAAAGAATTAAAAGTGCCAATAAACAGCATATTTTTGACATATAAGGGGTACTTTTGTGCTATTCAGCATTAACACTGATTGTCATAAAACATTATGAAAAATGCCAGCGTTACAATTCACTTTATCTTTGACCTACTTTAAAAAGAATATCCCAACAGTTTAATTACAAGAAAACTTTACAAGCTGAATAGCACAGAGGTACCCCTTAAATGTCAATTGTCAAATGTTTATTGGCACTTTTAACTCTTTAGTAAACGTATTTCTAAAACGAGGTAAACTATTGACAAGCAGGTTGATGAAATAAGAATATCAGCAATCTCGTTTAAAGTCATCATTTCGTAAGTTCTATGGTCGATACAATGACATCGTCATCAAATGCAATTTATCATTGAGTCAAATGCTGACTGACGTTTTTCATACTAATTGTTAGTCCATTATTTATACACTGATTTGGCGATGGATTTTTCCGTTATTTCCTGATCGTGACAATGTGCACTCGGCGGGTGTGACCGGTCAGCAGGAGATGCTCACTCCTCCATGACACCTGATCCCATCTCTGATGTTAAGAGGTCCGTGTTTGCTCTGCTCCTATTTTGTATTGTTTTATGGACTTTGAGATTGAATATTGTCCGTTATCTCCATATCCTTCTTCAAAGGACAAGGTCAAAGGTCACGAGGTCGGTAACTAATATAATTTACAAGTGCCAAAATGCCAGGCAATAAATGAACAATATGTATAGCAAGTCCATATCTCTTACAGTTCTTGAGATACAATGATACAAGGTGTGACGGACAGTCAGACAGCTAGACAAACGTCGGAAAGAGTGATCCCTTAGTACCGCTATGCTCCGCAGGTGACACAAAAACAGGCTGTGTATGAATATTGTCAACTTGTTTTCGAAGTGAAGAAATTGTGGGTCTTGAATTTACAAGGTACTTTCATAAATATTTCTCTGTAAAGTCATGCAGCCTTTTAAGAGAAATTGAGTTATATTTTTTTAAATTTTACTTTTCGGGTGTTTTGAAGAAATGTTTTCGAACACGAACCTGTTCCTTATGTCACTTAGCTGCTTGAAGCTGATTCTCCAAAACCGAAGTCTTTCCGCCGGGACTATGCAACCTATAAAAATGTTAGCCGGGAAATGTATTGAATGTGTGTGGAAGTGTGATTCTTACATGGAAATAAATCAAGGTAACTAATTTAAAACAAATCTTTATTAATGCGGAATTCATTTTCCTTCTGACTGGAAGTTGAAAACTTAAATATCAAATTTAAATTATTCATAACATGAATATTATTTGCTATGTAAAAATGTTAAATATCGGATGTCTTATTGCTATCTGTTTTTTGATTCTTCTTGTCCGCCATTTTAAACATTAGAATGTTTTAAATTCTTTTCTGATTCAACAATTTTTGGTATACAGTGTCTATCTGTGAAGTTAAACATTTTCAAGGTCAATGCATGCCTCTTTGGGTCTCAGGATATGGACAACAAAGATAGAAGCCTTGTTGGATACGAAATTTGAACAAAACGCTCCTGAATCGATCATTAGATAACTATATATAAATCCACAAAGCACCATGAAAAAATTATAGAGCATAGACTAAAAGTGGTTTACAATTTTGCATATTGATTCCTATACTAAACCTACTAGTATTTTTTTTTTTAAATCAGGTTGTCGTGGAAAGATTGTGGCATTTCATGCTATTCTATCTAAAAAAAAAAAATAAACAACATACCTGTAATTACACAATCCTCAAATTTGACAACGTATTGACCAATGAGGGAGAAGGATGCAACCCAATCCAACAACAGGAAAATTCACAGAACCAGAAGATGGCGTCTACTCGTTCTCATTGACTTATTGTACACACAAAGGCTTGTAGTTGGACTTGTGGATGCAACAATTCGGGCCTGTATATCCAACAATAACCTTGCAAGCACATGGCAAAACATGTCCGGACATCTCGTCGTGAAACTGAAAAAAGGTAATCAATTCTGGATTAAAACATACGACTCAACATCCAAAGTGACAAATGAAAATTTCACATTCCTTTCAGGTAACAAGTTATCTGGCTGTTGAGATATGTTTTTAATATCTAAAAATAAAAATAAACCATTGTTTAATTTTTCAATTATTATTATGTCACCCCGAACGACATTTTGCGATTGTAAGCATGTTTTTGTTCTCCAGGCTATTTCTCGGAGATGGCTGGGACGATCTTCATGAAACTTTCCTCAAAAGACAATCACTGGTTGTAGTTTAGTTGTGTGGTCATTCAGTTTCAAAATGGCTACGTTGTCAAGGAAACGTGTGCAAAATAGCGAATTTTGTCCGGAAGTGTTCTCTCTTGTCCTTTGAACATTCATTATGAAACT